CCACATCATCAAAAAAAATATTAAAAATGCCACGGAAGCAGAGTTAACGGTCCAATTTAACAGAAGGACTAACGGAGTGCATTTCGTATAGTTGATGGATCAAAAAAGTGCAAAAAATTCTCAAGGGACCAAAAATGTGCAAACCACTAAAGTTGAGGGACCAAAATGAGCATTTAACCATGGATAAAAAATGTGCACAAAAATGACAAAATACTTTAGGGACCAAAAATATGCAAATTGATAAAGTTGAGGGACCAAAATGAGCAAAAATAAATAAATAAATAAATAAAAGGAGTAACGGAGCAATTTTGTACCGCGGCCGCAACAGTCAGTCGGTTTCGCTGATTCCTTCCGTTCTCTCAATCTTTCCCTCACCGCGCCTCAGCTCGTCTGCCAGCAGCGTCGTCGCTCGACTCTTCTATTCGCGTCGTCTGTCAGCTCCGTGTACTGCGGTAGCTCTCAATTCTCATTGCCTTCTTCGAACTTGGAATGCTCTCAGTCAAGTCTTAAAAGGTATCTATATTTTAAATACTCTCTTTTCAATTTCTTTCCACCATGTTGTTTCAATTCTGTCCCACTCTAGCTGTGCCGTAGGTTCCCTTTTTCTTAGATTCAGGGGAGAAATTAGGTATCAAAAAGATATGAAATGTAAATGTAATTGTAGACATTACCAACTTCGGAATTTCCTTGCTAGAAATGTTGACACTGTGTTGGTATACCTAGGGTTTACTGAAAGTCTGAAAGGAAACCCAAAATTGGTGAATTTGAAGAAGGATTTTGATGATATATGTTTTTGTGATCATTAAATATGCGAGGTTGGCTTAAATGGAAAATGGTTTCTTTGGCATTATAAGTTAACATTTCACCGTTGTCAGTTAAAAAGGTTCTGTCTTTTATGAAATTTTGCTAAAACGTAAATGTTATTATTGAAGTTTTATGAACCCTTATTGTGATGATCTTCTATGGGTTGTTCTGTGTCTTTCATTTTGCTAGAACCTTTCTGAGGTGAATGGCAGCTATCATTTGATATTCTCAGGATATTTCCAGTCTGCTTGTGTAGGAAACTGTAAACATTATTATTATCTTGTTACTGGCATTCTTTCTTTTACCAATAATAATCTAAGACATTTCCTTCTTTAGTATATTAGTGTGACTAGTTTTGTTAACAAAAAAAAACTCAGCAAATTGTTTATGCTTGGGATTGCTGTATTGCAATTGAGAGCCCTTAAATTTAATTCAATCATAGTTAAGGTTCATATGTGAATCAAGTTGGTTCCCTAGAGCATTAATAACATGGTCAAGTCTTGAAACTTTTTTATGAGTTTGTTGATAGGTATCGACCTTGAAGAGCAGGGAAGAGGAAGTAGGGGAAGGAGAAAGATTATCTACCACGATTGTAGATGGTAGAAGTTTGGTGGTCACTGTTGGGAGCTGCCATCCCAGCAGTTATTGCAGGGCAAGCTTTTAGAATGAAGAAGCGGCATGCTGAGGAGCAGAGACTCAAGAGTGCTAGGGGAAGCGAGAAGAATTCAGATGATATTTTTGTGTGTGAGAGAGTTTGCACGTCAAAGAGAATGCTGAAAAAGGTTGGATCATTTTCAAAGGATCCAATTCCTGATACTTGTGTCACTGTCTGTGGCATATCTGAGCTGGATGCCTGCTCTGCTGCTTGTGTTAGTACTGTTTGCGTTAATCAGCATCAAGTACCCAACTGGAATGACATTTGCCTTCGGAGATGTCAGAGTGAATGTCTTAAACTCTCAGCTTCTAGTACTTCTTAGATCTTAGTGCATTTTATTTCACCTAGACTTTAAACAATTGACATTTGTAAAACATGCTCTTTAGTCATAGTGAATGTCCATCTATTGATGTTTACAGTGTTAAGTGGAACATTTTGCCTTGTTTTCCAAATGGATTTTTGACTGGTAAAGCTTACAATTCATTTGGATTTCTTGTGTTGAAACCATTAACCTTCTTTAGCAATTCAACAACCTTATATGCTTTACATTTTGAATCAAAGTTTTATCAGTCCTATCACAATTGCCTATTTTTCATGTGTTAAAGGACATTTGTTGCCATAGATATTGATTTAAGATGATAGTTGCTATTTTTCCATTTGTCCAGGATTTTTGTTTCTATCAAAACCCTTTTTTTTGGCTGGACATTTCTGGTTGATTTTTGCATGGCAACCTGTTTTGTGGCTAGACAAAATGTTATATATTTCTGAAGAGTAAGCAGTTTTGGTATTTATATTGCATTGGACTGCAAAACCAAGACCATCTAATGGGCATGGTCCGCAGCTCTATCAGGGACTTTTCTCCCCTGATGGGTTAATTAAATGTTGTCCAAACTGCACAAAACATTTTATATTTTTGAATATGATTTATGTTTTCCTTGGCTGGTGTTATAGGAATAACTTTTTTATACCACTTTTTTATATAACTTTTACGTGTCATTAAATGAGTTAATGTATTCAATATCACGGGTCTCACATGAATTAAAAGAACAAATCATTTTAATGACACGTCATGTTATATAAAAAAAATAAAATAAAAAAGTTATACAAAAATCATTTCTCATTTTTCCTCAATACAAATAACTTATTTAGTCATTTTCAATTAATGTTGTTAAAAAAATAGCCTGATTGGTCTTGAACAAGTTTAAAAAGGGTTTATTGATATGAGAAAGGAAAAAAATTATGATGTCAAGATATTTTAAATGTCAACATTTATTATGAAATTATTTAATTATTTTTAATGAAAATTTTTTTTGTATGTTAATTTTTAAGAGTATTTAAATAATTTTGTAAAGAGTCTTAATATTTTAATTAGTAAGACATTTTGGTTCTATTACTACTGATATATATAGGGGTTGTGAAAAGTTAAGACTACTCAGCAATTTTAGCTTTTCGTTTTTTTGATATTCATTATTTATTGAATTTTGATTATACAATTTGATAGAAGCATAATAACATTTTAAGAGGCATAAGAAAAAGAAAGTGAAAATGAGGTTAATGGTCACACTTAAATTCAATGATATTCAAATTTATCATAAGTAAAATTATATTTATAAGTTTGTCTAATTTATATTCTTAATAAATATTTTTTTTACAATTAATTTATATAAAAAGTCAGCAAACTTGATTTTTATTTTAATATAATTATTACTTGAATAGTTTTGTTTAGTTAATTAATTAAATTAAAATTAAAATTTATATTTTTCATATAAATTAATTAAAAAAAAAAAACCTTATGTTTCTTTCAACAAAGAGAAATATTATGATAATTTTATTTTATGATTTTATCCCCTCAACTGAATCCTCTTGGAGTCCCGCCCTCAGTGCAGAGTGGATATGGCGGTTACATGGACTTCCGTCACTTCTCCTTCCCCTCCGCCTTCTCCTCCTCGGAGTTTCTTCAGCGAGAGCCGACCTTCGCCGTTACCTCTCTTTCGCTTTAAGCCATGCAGCTGTCGATGCTCTTCTGACTCGCTCGAACAGACACTCTCTCCGATTCACCATACCTTCTCTCTCATACAAGACTCTGCTGTAATCGCTTGCCTTCGCGCCAATAGGTAAATTTCTCGCTGATTTCTCTATGTCAGATCTGATTGATTACCTTCTTCAATTAGCATAGGAAAAGTTGCAGATGTTAGGGAAGAGGACTGAAACTTACCGTAGTTCTTCCGGTTTTTGTAGTGCAGATCTGGCAATGGAAGCTGCGCGTGCTGCTCTCGCTGGTGGCATCTCCGTTGTGAGTCTTCTTATCTTAGTTTTCTTCTGTATGTATCTTTAAATTTGAAGCAATAAATGCTTTTTAGTGCTGTTTTATTTAGTTTTGCCTCTCCGGTAGAGGTTGTGAGAGGTTTTAGAGAAATTTTACGACTACAATTTTCTATATTTTAATTCATGGGTTCTTGCTTTTGATAGAACTCTGGAAGTCAAATATAAAATCGTAAGTTTGTTTGATCACTGGACTTTGTGACAATTTTTTTTTTGGCTGATTTGCAGATGGAGATAGTAAGGTCAACACCATGTGTGTTTGAGGTTGTTCAAATATGCTAACTTTCCATCCTTTCAGCTGCAATTGGCAATTAGCTTTAGGATTTATGTTTTTTTTTTTTTTTTTTTTTTTTTTTTTTTTCATTTTCTTCCAGGTTTTACAGTGTCTTGTGCAAGAATATCCTACAAATGCCTTTGGTGTAATGGTCTTCCTAGGAGCCCACACTGGATGAGGATCAGGATTTCATAACATGTTTCTGTCTGAAATGAAGCTGCTAATTAATGATTCTTGCAGGTTGGGACTGTTTTAAATTCACGGGATGCAAGAAGAGCAATAGATTCTGGAGCCAAGTTTCTTATGAGTCCTGTTACAGTTAAGGTTTGTGCTTAGAAGTTTCTTGGGGTTCCAATTTTTATTTTGTTTGTCATATTAATCTCTTTCTTTTTCTGTTCAGATGGCCAGTGCTTTTTTACACAGTAATCCTATATTTAGAAACTCAAGAGAAAGATGGATATTATTAACATCTCAACATCTCCATCTTTTGCTTCTGCTAAACATGCTTGGCTGTTTACTTCCCTTTCAGGACATCATGAAGGATGCTCAAGACAGTGATGTTTTGTATATCCCTGGTGCAATGACCCCAACTGAAGTAAGAAATAGATTTTCTCTCTTAAACTTCTTAGCTAGCCAGGCTTGACTTATAACCAAAACATAATTTGCTTTCTAGTCTTCTAATTTGGCATTTATCATGGTAAATCATTAAAATGAAAATTTAGCTATTTTTATTGCTTCTTGCATTTTGTTTGGATCAGAGTGTTTGTTTTTCTTCCTCTCTTTTTTTCCCCTGTTTCAGGGCAGTAAAACTATTGATTATTTTTCAGATATTTTCTGCCTATGAAACTGGTGCAAAGATGGTCAAGGTGAGTCTTTTTGAGTTGTCACGTATTGCTGCACATGTCTGGACTTATGTCTCAACAATGGGTGGAAATGTCTTATGGATTTTGTAATATATTATTTGGTGAAACAGATTTATCCTGTTTCTGCCTTAGGTGGTATCCGCTACATCTCAGCACTTAAGAAGCCTTTCCCTCACATTCCAATGGTTGCTTCTCAAGGCGTAACAATAGGTTGGAACTTTGACCTCCTTCTCTTCTCTAAATTTTTTGTGATTAATATCGATGCTTCTCACAAATGTTTTAGAAGTAACCCTGCAAAACTTTGAAATAGAAGAAACACAATGAAAGACTACTATTGAATGCAAAATATCATGAATGTTCAAGGATCTGACCATTTTATGTGGATTGTCTTCGTGATTCTACTGCACCTAGTTGTTTATTTCCATGGTTGAAGCAGGGGAATTGGTTGAAGTGTTTTTTATATTTGAAGCATTTCTAGAGCATTTTTTTTATATAATACTTTAAGATAGATGATATCTTCTAGCTTCAGTTATACCTTTTCAGCTTCTTGTTTTCAGCTGAAATCTTGTTTTGCTGAAAGCAAATGATCGATTATTGTATTGGTTCTTAACATTTTCCTTTGACAAAAATACATTTTCTCTTATAAATTTGTGCAGATTCAATACAGGACTATGTTGCCCAGGGAGCAATAGCAGTTGTTTTATCAGATTCCATATTCAATAAACAGGCAATGGCTGAAAATAACTTCAATGTTATACATGAACTTGCCCAATCTGCTACTTCCCAGGGCAGAAAAGCAGTAGGAAGGTTAGCATTAATTAATTTTATATTTATATATCCATCTTCTTTAATCTCTTCAAAGTTATCTGAATCTTGGCCATATCCGTTGTTGATTTTATTATTTCTTCCTGCTCTGGAAAGAACTTCTGTCGACTCTAGAAGCCAAAAGTCCACCCAGAAATGTTTGAGATGATGCAACCAAAGCTGTAAATTGGCAATTTAAAATTTGAACGGGTCATTTTTAAGAGAAAAAGTTTTCAACGAAGAGCTTTATAGCAATCCCAACGGTGGTTCTTACCAGTGATGGTAGAGTGGAGGAACTGTTGGAGCTCCATGAGTTGAAGCTGGTCAAGTCGCAGATGCTATCCTACCTATGGATTCAGAGTTTGCATTACGTCAAGCTCTAAGGTTCATATCTGCTTCTTTCAAAGATTTCATTTTATTCTCCATTCATGAGAAGGGGCAGGAAGTGGTGTTTACAAAACAAAAAGAAGAAGAAGAAGAAGAAGTTATTGTGTTATAATTTGGTTTGAGTATTTCATTTATGAGTTTTTCATTAAGGTATAAGTTAAGAGAGTTTTAAATATATTTTTTATGCATTAATTTATATATAAAAAAAAATATTAATTTTATATCTATATCATGTGAATATTTTCTATTAGATAATTAATAAAATTAATATTAGTTTTCATTTTTACTATGTGTATTAATGATAAAAAAATATATAATAGATACATTTTTAAGGTACAAATTAGAAAAACCCTTCATTTTATTGGTTTTTGTAATGATTTCATAAGTATTAGAGTCAGTTTTTATTATTCTTTTTGTTCATCTTTAATAAACTTAATTTGACTTTTTGATTTTTTAAACATGAATTTTACATAAAAATTTAACATATTTTATAAATGATAATTAAAAATCTTTTCT